GCAGGTACCCTGTGGCGTAGAAATACAACTCTCGTCTACCAAATCAGAGGTTGTTGGGTCGAATCCCACAGCCGGCATTTCATCAGCCGACTATTTTTAATAAATAAAAATAGTTTGGGTACCTAGGTCGACTCAGTCTTAAATGAGTACTTGGGATTCACAATCTTGTGCTGAGTTTAATGGTAAAGAAATAAACTTTACTGAAAAATATTATTGCTTGCTTAAATTTATATAGGGGTACCACAAATTGGTGATCTATTTTAAGAATTTATTTTACATAAAAACTTTGTTATTTCAAATGCAACACCCTGTATTTTTTTAAATAAATCGAAGCAGATTCAAATGCTCTTTCAAACTATATTAGGGTTTCCTATACCTATCTATCTCAGATTTTGAATAAAAAGCGATTTTTAAATAAAATGGCAATCAAGATGGCTGGTATCGCCATGGACATTTTCTAGTGACAGTTAGTCACTATTTTCAAAATCGACCTTAGTTTATGGGCATTATTATTTAAACAGTTTACTAAAATTTACCCATAATAGTTTAATAAGTAAGTATTCTTTATTTTATGAAAAAAAAATAAAACCGCGTCTGCTGGCGGCTGGCGGAACGAATGGATAGGTTACTAGTGATTTTATTTTGTGAAGAAAATTATTTCTTGGCCTCAAGAGCTTATGCTTAAACATATCCAAATAGGAATCTTCCTTATAAGCGTTCCTTTGAAAAACTACTTGTCCTATTTCCTATTTCGCAGAGTGTAGGTAGTTTATAAAAAACCTATTAGGCAGAAACCTGTCGTTGGAAGTGAAGAAATTGAATTTTCCGTAATTGGCTCTTTTATAGAAAATCCATATATCTACAAGTTATCGTAAAATAAAACAAAGAACTACTTCTTTGTTTTTCTTGATATAATAATAAATACGTATTAATAAATATTATTTATTAAACTATTCTAGTTAAATTAAATAAAAGTAAACTGGTATAAATTTAAATAAAGCCTATAAACTAATTTCGATTTTGAAAATAGCTACTAATTGTCACTAGAAACTTGTCCTGACGACACTAGCCCTCTTGGTCGCCATTTTATAGAAAAATCGCTCTTTATTCAAAATCTGAGCTAGATAGGTATAGGAAACCCTGATATAGTTTGAAAGAGCATTTGAATCTGCTTTGATTTCTTTTAAAAAATATAGGGTGTTGTATTTGAAATAACGAAGTTTTTATTTAAAATGAATATTTAAAATATACCAGCAATTTCTGGTACCCCTGTATAAATTTAAGGAAGCAATAACATATTTTAGTAAAGTTTATTTCTTTACCTTTAAACTCAGTACAAGAATTAATTCTGAAAAGTAATGTACAGGGTGTTAATAATCAATTCTATTGTATATAGGATGCATATTTAAATATCTTTAAATATCTCAAAAACCAAAAATTTTAAACATATTTAACCCTTATAATAAATGTCTTTTTTTGGGTCCAAGAATCCAAAAATGAAATAAAATACCGGGTGTTCCATAAGAAAAAATATAACTTTGATATGGATCTTACTTCTGAGACACCCTGTATATTTCAAGATAATTTGAAATTGTGTACATTGCCTCCCCACATATACCCATAAAATACTTTGTTTCTACATCTTTCCGTTTTCGTATAATCAACCGAGGCGAATGAGAGGTTAGCCTGGATACCCTGTATATTTATTAACTTTTTTAATATCATCAAATTGTCTTCTGGGTATTTTGCCACTGTAAGACAATCTACAAAATAAAATAGTTTTTTTGTAGTTTGTAATACAACACCGCTCCGTTGATCCAACGGAAACCAATTTGTCAGCGGTATTTTACTAATAAAACAAATTTGCTTAACGGATAAAAAATGCTTAACGTTTCAGGAGGTTTATATCCTCCCGCCGAGGAAGCAAAAAAAGCACAAAGCACAAAGAAAAAACTATTTAAAATCTCTAAATACAACTATTCAAGAACATTTTATTTATACTTTTCAAATTGGTCTCTGTTGGACCAACGCAACAGTGCGGTGTTTACAAAAAATAACTATTTTATTTAGTAGATTTTTTTACAGTGGCAAAACTTCCTTTAGGAGATGCGAGAGCTTGCCGTTGGTGGGGAAGCTTCTAGTCAGGTGAACTGAGGTGCTAGAGGGAATTCCCTCTGGTCTAGTTTTGAAGCAGTAGTATGGAATGCTAGAATGACGCAAGTGACACGATTCTGACAGCGCTACTTCAGTGTGCGTTGACACACTTATTGTCGTTTGTTCAATTCGACGTAACTTGCTAGATGCATGTTACTTACCAGATTACGTGTCACGTCAGATGCTACGTCACTTTGGTGGGCGTTCTCACTGGCTTGCCCATGGCCGTAGTGTCGTGTAGCGTTCTGCTCCGACAAGGAGAGAAAAAAGCCCGGATGGAAAGCCGTCCAACATGGAGAAGCAAGCAGGGACGTATCGCTAGTTTTGCCGCTATTGCTGGACAAGTGAAAATGGCGGTGCTGCCAAAGGATTACCCAGAGGTTGCGCTGACCGCCGACCAACAAATAGCTCTGGACGAAGTTGTATATAGCAAGCGGATTACAACTCAATGATCCACAAAATGTGGATCAGCTGCGTTTTTCGGGGATACACTTTCGGGTGGGCATGCTCCTCATAAAATGTGTATCTCAAGAATCGGCGTATGGGTTGGTGGAAACGGAACCTAAGCTTAAGAATTGGCAGGGGCCGAGACTGGTTGCAGTGAAGAGAGAAAATATCCCAAAAGGGGTAAACGTAGGGAAAATACACCACTTACCTGTTTAACATTATCCAGGCTCAGGACTCCAATGTAGGGACATCGAGTTGGCCAATCATCAACTCGAGGGGGAAGGGTCATGGCTAGGTTCTCACAGTAGGAATTGACCTCAAATAAGAGCCTAACCAAGGAGGCAATAGTTAAAGAGGTGGAAAAAATGGAGACAAGCTCCTCGATTGTGAATGGCATAGAGGTCAATATCCCAAAATATGCTGTGTGGAAGAGTGTATATAGTCTGTCCAACGAGAAGATCCTTGAGAGTGATAGATGTGTCTGTCATTTTAATTTCAAAGTAGTTTATTTTATTTTACAAAGAAATAAGTTGGTACAACTGGAACGCATAGCAGGAAATATTTAAAATTTGATTGACAAGATGACAAGTGATTACTTCAAAATATTGTGAAAAAAACTGTATAAAACTGAAAAATGTAATCGAGTTATTTTATTTAATAAAACCGGTATGTGTTAATACAAAACAAACAAGAACAAGACACTACATACCAAAAAAAATATAAAAAAGAACTATTTTTTACTTTCAAGCTTTATGAAACTACCCGCATTTATGATTATATTTATCAATATAACTTATGTACAAATACAAATTTGTAATATTCCACAGGAATAAATAAAACAACATAGGTAAATAAAACAAACTATTTTATTAATAATAACACCTACCTAATTTTATACCTTAAAGGTTGATTAATTAACTTTAATCTTAATTTTTTTAAACCAGTACCAGTATCGTGTGATGTCGATATTTTACAGCTACTCCAGTTTTTAGTATGTGTTTAGTTTGATCCTTCTACCATATACGAGATGCACTTATCTACGACGAGATGGTATACAAACTTTAACGATGGGGTGTATAAGACTTTTTGCCTCAGCGAGTCTAACCATAAGCTGTGCTCTTGGTCTACAGTTAATTTTCACTCGATTTTTCCTCCACTTGACTTCAAAAGACACAAAACACACGTAATAATACGAATCAAAATGCATCATCTTCCAAAACGCAGGGTATTTAACAAAAGTTGACACAAAATTATAACCTATAATTTGGCAAGACTTTGACAAGCGTCAAAAATGACAAAAATCTAAAGGCGAGTTCATACGCATCGGCGTCCGTTTATCGTTCATCGTTCCGTCAAACCAATAAAATTGAAATACGATCTGTCATTTTTTAAATAAACCAATAAAACTGGTTAAAAACAACAAGACACGACGCATGACGGATTTATATTTAAACCCATCCATAGATAACTTAAAAATTATTAGAAACTTTTTTTAGTAAAATAAATAGATTGGTATGGGACGTCATCTGCTTTTCTTCTGTCATCGTCTGTCGAAATCTTACCTGAGAAAAAAAACAGAGTATACCTTCGAAGGAAGAACATCTGTTGTCAGAGGAGGATGGGAAGTACCCTGTCCCCCTACAACAGGAAATCCTCATGTATGATGAGTTATAGACTCAATGATGAGTTATAACTCAAGGAAGGGGGACATAATAGATCTTTGAGGTCGCAGTGATTAACCCCACCTCCCACTCATTTTACATTCTACAGTGCCGAAATATCCTGAAGACTTATTGAAGAAATGAACCTGCCACAAAGATTATTTTTAATATCGAGAGTGCATACTAAAAATGCTGTAATATCGAGAGTGCATACTAATATACTTGCTGTATTTACATACACAATCGGTCATAATCCACACTTGATCGCTGACCGCTATCAAGTAATAAGGAGATATATATATCATAATTCATCACTGTCTACCACTTTAATTTTATACTTCGCTTTTAGAAAATTAAACGATTTAAAATAATAAGTTGTTTATTTTTAGAGTTATAAAATAAAAGAAGGAATACAGTATGTTGTTCAGATACAAAAAGAGCAAAACTAATAACAAAATATAAGCATATTATCACAGATAACACATAATTATACATAATTACAAAAATTTACTGGTTTTTTTCTCTAATCTATAAGAAATAAAGTTCTTAAAAAACTTAATTTTAAACATAATTTTGGTAAGTATATATTTTAAAATTCTTAATTATAAAATACAAATAATAACTTGCTTTATATCTTTCTTGTGGTATTTTACCTTGAATGTTGCAATACAGCTGAATGAATGAACTTCACCTTGAACAAATTCCAAACTTGCAGTCAATGAATCGTGTAAAATATGCTGTGTTTTGGTTAGGCTACTTAAATCGAAATTTTCAATTTCTTTTTTATTGTGTCTTTAATATAGTTCAATGCCGTTTTATAAACAATTATTTGCAAGTATATAATGCAGCGTCGATTAAAAATCTGATGACAGTTTGTGACTATCTTTTGTATCTAAAAGGGTGCAAATTATTGGCGAGAACCATGCTTAAACTTCTATGTTCCATTTTTATTATTTGTCTTTATATAGGGACGTGCCATTCAAACCCAGGAATATTTGATTTAGTGGCGGACGAAAGTAAAGAATACGTACAAGGTAAATTAATACTTAGAAAATAATTAAATCTTTTTTATTATAAATTGGTGCCTTATTATAAATATTTTAATTTGTAGTTACAAATGTATTACAAATTCCATTTCAATTTACACTAATTTAGTTTTTCAAAAATTATATCTCTATGTGAAATTTAAAAGTACGTATTTTAATATATAGGTCCTACAGGGGGCTGCGTTAGGGTTGTTTGGTACCCTATGCACCATTTATTTTGTGGCCCTTTTCAACTACTAAAAATTCAAGTAAAAATTGTTATACGTAATATTGTCAACTAATAGAAATATGTCATGGAGTTTTAAAAAAAGGTTGATGTTTTTTTTTTAAAATTGACATATGTTATGGAATAACTGTCATGCAAATTCAAAACGCCCCCTTTAGGAAAAGTTTTATATTTTTTATACAGGGTCGCTTTTATGTATGGAAACGGTCGATTATTAGATAAAATATAGGAGGTACCGCAAAAAGTATATATTAATATATATCTATTATTATCCGCAAAAATATATCTATTATAAATACAAAAGTTATTGGGTTTATAAAGATCTATTAGCGGGTAATACATTTAAATATACAGGGTCGGTCATAAAGTCGTGGCACAGCAAAATTTCATTTTTTTAAATGGAGCCTTCTGTATATTATTGCATATTTTGGTTCTTCCTTCAATTCTAAACAAAAATCGAAATACACACAATATACCTCATACCAACCGTTTCCGAGTTATTGACTTTTGAAAATATCACTTAAGCAATTTGATTTAACTAATTTCGATATGTTCAGTTAATTTTTAACTATGCCATTTTGCAGAAATTGTGATACTTAATAATATTTGATATTAGTTCTCAAGCTAGCATTTATAGATGTATATAAAATGAGAGTATAGCAAGTCTGGAAATTACAAAATTTTCGTTTAACATTTCAATTCTTCAATTTATGTACATTGTGTATTACAATTATTGTTTAAAATTGAAGGAAGAATTGAAATCTGCAATAATATACAGGGGGTTTCATTTAAAAAAAATATAATTTGATGTGACACAACTTTATGACCAACCCTGTATACTTAAATTTACTAGTAGCTAATAGGAATTTAAAAACCCATTACAACGGTATCACAGTTTCGGTAGAATGCCATCATTAAATCAAACCGAATACATCGAAATTAATTAAATCGAATTGTTTAAGTGATAAAAAAGTCAATAACTCGGAAACGGTTGCTTTGAGGAACATTGTGTGTATTTAGATTTTTGCTTAAAATTGAAGGAAGAATTGAAATATGTAATAATATACAGGGGATTCTATTTAAAAAAAATAAACTTTGATGTGCCACCTCCTATATTTTACCTAACGATCGACCGTTTCCATACATAAAAGCGACACTGTATATTGTCTTCCTCAGGACACTAAAAATAAATGAATCTAAACTTACTTTTTTCCCTATGTGTATATAGGATCTAGATTTAGATTACATTTAAATTGACATTGAGTAAAAGGTTACAAAAAAAACATGTAAATAGAAATAAGGCAAATAGACTGAAATTAAAAAATAGAATTAATATAAGAGATAAAAATAAAACTAATAATAACTAATAAATGGTGGTTAAAAATGTTTATATTATGCACTTTTGAAGCTTCCCTGTATTAGATTTAAAAATTTTAATTTTAAAATTTGGTAATTAATATCCTTTTAATACACAGGGTGCGCACCTCATTCGCCTCGGTTGATTATACGAAAACGGAAAGAGGTAGAAAAAAATATTTTATGGGTATATGTGGGAAGACAATGTGCACAGTTTAAAATTATTTTGAAATATACAGGGTCTTTCAGAACTAAGATCCATACCAAAGTTATATTTTTCTTATGAAACACCCAGTATTTTATTTCATTTTTGGATTGTTGGGCCCAAAAAAATGCATTTATTATAAGGGTTAAATATGTTTTAAATCTTTGGTTTTTGAGATATTTAAAGATATTTAAATTTGCATGCTATAATAGAATAGATTATTTACACCCTCTACAATACTTTTCAGAATTAATTCTTGTGCTGAGTTTAAAGGTAGAAAAATTTTAATGAAAAATGGTATTGCTTCCTTAAATTTATACAGGGGTATCAAAAATCGCTAATCTATTTTAAGGATTTATTTTATACAAAAACTTCGTTATTTCAAATGCAACACCTTATATTTTTTTAAATATATCGAAGGAGATTCAAATGCTCTTTCAAACTATATTAGGGTTTTCTACACCCATCTAGCTCAGATTTTGAATAAAAAGCGATTTTTAAGTAAAATTCCAATCAAGGTGGCTGGTGTCGCCATGGCAATTTTCTAGTGACAGTTAGTAACTATTTTCAAAGTCGACATTAGTTTATGGACATTAGTATTTATAATTTATAACAGTTTACTAATTTACCTACAATAGTTTAATATAAGTAAGTATTCACTATTTTATCAAGAAAAATAAAGCAGTATCTGCTGGCGGAATGAATGGATATGTTACTAGTGATTGTATTTTGTGAGAAAAATTGCTTCTTGGGCTCAAGGGCTTATGCTCAAAGATATCCAAATAGGAATCTTCCTGATAAGTGTTCCTTTGAAAAACTACTGGTCCTATTTCGCAGAGCTGGTAGTGTGGTTTACAAAAACTATTATGCAGAAACTTGTCATTGGAAGTGAAGAAAATGAATTTGTCGTAATTGGCTCTTTCATAGAAAATCCATATATCTACAAGTCATTGTAAAATAAATCAAAGACTACTTCTTCGTTTTTCTTAGTAGAATAATGAATACATATTTAATAAATATTATTTATTAAACTATTGTAGATAAATTAAATAAAAGTAAACTGCCATAAATTTAAATAATAAAGTTTCGTCGACTTTGAAAATAGTTACTAACTGTTATTAGAAAACTGCCATGGCGACACCAGCCACCTTGATTGCAATTTTATTTAAAAATCGCTTTTTATTCAAAATCTGAGTAAGATAGGTATAGGAAACCCTAATATAGTTTGAAAGAACATTTGAATCTGCTTCGATTTATTTAAAAAGCACAGGGTGTTGTATTTGAAATAACGAAGTTTTTATGTAAAATAAATCCTTAAATTAGATCAGCAATTTTTGATACCCCTGTATAAATTTAAGGAAGTAATAACATTTTTCAGTAAAGTTTATTTCTCTACCTTTATACTATTGTAGCATGAAAATTTAAATATCTTTAAATATGTCAATAACGAAAGATTTTAATCATATTTAACCCTTATAATAAATGCCTTTTTTGGGCCCAAGAATCCAAAAATGAAATCAAATACCGGGTGTCCCATAAGAAAAAATATAACTCTGGTATGGATCTTAGTTCTGAAACACCCTGTATATTTCAAAATAATTTTAAATTGTGCACATTGCCTCCCACAAAATATTTTGTTTCTAGATCTTTCCATTTCCGTATAGTCAACCGAGGCGAATGAGGTGCGCCACCCTGTATATATTTTTTTATTTATGTGTATATTATATTTGTTTTTATTATTTATTTTAGTTATGTTATTTTATTATTATTTTTTTAGAAATAAAAAAGTAATAATAATTTTGTTTAAAAGTTTTTTTAGTTTTTCTGTTATTTTTCTTATTTATAGTTTATCTGGTCATACTTCTTTTGTGTTCTGTTTCTTCATCTTTTAAGCCTGACTTAAAAAAAACGTAGGTCTATTGGTGTTATAGGTATTGTATTAGAGTGGGGCAATAAAACAACGAATTATTAAATATTATTTTGGAAATATAATTAATGAACTCCCGTACGGTCATAATTTAAATTATTGCGTCTACAATAAATACATAATTGCAAGAAAAAAATAATAAAATTTAAAGTATATCTAATGTTTTTTCCTTATTGATTTTAAAATAATACACAAGAAATTACTAATGAAATAATATCAAATAAATATACATAACAATAAATGGCAGATCGAAAAATAGTAATTCATATAATATGTAATTTAAAAATACAATTTTATTTTTTTAACGATAACTGCGGTCTATTTCTATATCTTTTATCGCATTCTTTATATTAACACACTTTTCGAAAGTTGGATATATAAAAATATATAATAAAATGTTATGCATATTTCATAATAGCACATAAACTAATTTAGTTAATAATTATTTGATAATAACCGGAATAAATTAGTCATAAAAATATAGTTCAATTAAAACTGTGTTTGAGATCATTAGTATGTAAAATATTTCCTGTCAAAAAAAAAAGAGATTAATTAAACTAACATACATTTATTTATAACATATCTAATTATTTTAATAACAATTACTAGGTACATATTTTTTTCTAACTTCAAAGAATACTGGTAATTATAATTTTTTATTTAGGTAAATGTGTTTATGTGTTTATTAAAAACTGATATGAGTAAATAGCGTCAAACTAAAGATTAAAAAAATACATAAATGTATTTTTAACTTAGCGGCTCTGGAAGTTAGTATAAGTATAACAGCATACTTTTCCAAAAAATATAAAGAATATGGTTTTTTGAAAGTTATTGTAATGCACTAAAATACCATATTTTTATAAACAGCAACCAACAGCCTTTCAACAAAGCTGATGATTTACGTGTTAAATAAAAATCACTTAAAAATTCACTAAACACATTTATTATATACTATACTTTTTTTTGAATTAAATGAAAAACAAAAAATCCGGCGACGACAGTTTTTAGAAGAGCCAATTAGCTGTCTTTTAGTAAAAAAAAATAACTTTCTAGAGCAAGTCGCTACTTCAGTAGAGACGACACAGATAAACATTAGCATTTTATATGTATATGTAGATTACTAGCTTTTTCCCGCGACTTCGTTCGCGTACACTTCGAATTGTCCATGCATTTTTTCCTGTTTTTTTTTATGTACCTACATATTTTAAATAGTTTACCCTATGGATACAGCTAGCTTTCCAAAAAATATAAAGAATATGGTTTTTTGAAAGTTATTGTAATGCACTAAAATACCATATTTTTATAAACAGCAACCAACAGCCTTTCAACAAAGCTGATGATTTACGTGTTAAATAAAAATCACTTAAAAATTCACTAAACACATTTATTATATACTATACTTTTTTTGAATTAAATGAAAAACAAAAAATCCGGCGACGACAGTTTTTAGAAGAGCCAATTAGCTGTCTTTTAGTAAAAAAAACAACTTTCTAGAGCAAGTCGCTACTTCAGTAGAGACGACACAGATAAACATTAGCATTTTATATGTATATGTAGATTACTAGCTTTTTCCCGCGACTTCGTTCGCGTACACTTCGAATTGTCCATGCATTTTTTTCCTGTTTTTTTATGTACCTACATATTTTAAATAGTTTACCCTATGGATACAGCTAGCGAGCCTGACAATTGCACTATTTAAACTATGTTTCGAAAATTAGAAGTTTTAGAGCTATTTCAGAAAAAAGTTTTTAATTGTCGATTTTCTGGGTATTGTATAACCCGAGTTGGTAACCGGTATGGTTTCTCACTATTGGAATTACATGTATATTTTATTGGCAGTCGCTAGCAGCCATTGGCAGTCTTACGACGGCAGTTGGCGTATAATTACATTGCAATCATAGCCAGTCTTCTTCACAGTCACTGGCAGTCGCTTGACAGCAAAGTTATATTTTGGCAGTACATGTAGATTTTTTACTCAAGTGAGACACCCCTCGGTACAACCTTTAAAAAAATATTTTTTTATTTTTCAATTTTTTACACATTTTTTTCTTAAAATGTATAAAAACCGTCAATATAACAATTTCCATTGACTGAAACTAAATATATATAGTTGGATATAGGGTGGATGGCGCTCTTGCATGACCATTTTCTTAATTATGTATAGGGTGTTTTAGAAATACAGCCAAAGTCAATATTTTGCAAAATATTTTGCTTCTTTTTTCCAGAAAATAATAAATAGTGAAATTGCCATTTACTCTCTATGGATAGAACCCTATAATGGTTCTCTATAAACTGTATTTCTAAAATGAACAGCTTTCTTTTCAATTGTCAATTTCCTTTATATACCCCTTTAAAAATGTTTTTTTAATTTTTATCTGAAATGTAATAAAAGATGTCAAAATAAGGATTATAAGAGTACTAATACTTTCTTTATAGGTTATTTTTTATCCCTAGAGAGATGATTTGAATAAGAAATATTTCATGCATATTATTGATAAGTTTTATAGTTCGAGTTATTATAGTTTTTTTTTTCGTACAGCAAACTTTCATATCCCATTCTACTCCCTAAGGGTATGAATTTCCTAAATTTGTGTTGTCCAAGAAATTAACTCATGGCTTTTAAAAGAATCTTTGTGACAATTTTTGTGTGTATAATCTAGCTGTCACGAAGTTTTATATAAATTTTTATTAACTTTACCCATTTAGTTGATGAATTAAAAAAATCTCTCCTAAGTGTTCTTCACTTAAGGATCCTTTCTCCAGAATTTAATACCAGATAGTAACGAATTTGCATACAACGAAATTTCCGACATAATTTTACTCTCTAAGAATTTCCTAAAATCGCTTTGTGTAGCTAATTCACTAATGGCATTTGAACGAATTTTTGTGCTAATATTTATGTATCTCAAGCTGACGGTTTAACTGACCCCTAAAATATCTAAAAACTAGATATACAGGGTGGTCCGAACTGTATTCCGGAAACTTCGGTAGCCTATTCTGTTGATAAAAACAGGTAAAAAAGTTCGTATAAATGTATGTTCTAAAATGCTTAGTTTCGGAGATACAGGGTGTAGAAGTTTAATTTTTATTTCAATTTTTTCCAAATAATTTCTGAAGTAACGTCAATATTTGGATGAAAATTGGTGTCTCCGATTTGACTCCGATTCGTACGGGGCGCCACCTACATGTGTTTTAACTGTTTTGGAGGGTAATAACTTTTTGTGCGTACCTGTATAAAACTACTGAGTGAAAAAATATACATTTCCGTGACTTTTTACGTAAAAAACATCTCTTGGCAAAAATCGCTACGAGCAACCGTTCTCAAGATATTTAGAATGAAAATAGTCAATACATGCCATTATTGACAAAAAAATAAACACGTTGCGTAGATACCGTATGATCGAAAAAAAACGGCGTCCAGTTGGCTGGGAAATGAACATCGATGACATTTCCTATATAAATTTACATATAAAATGACAGCGATCTTCATTCCATAGCCATCGCTGACGCCGTTTTTTCTCGATCATACGGTAGTTATTTGACTGAAATAATTTGAGAAATTTTTATTTTTTTAAATTAATTATATTTTTTTTTGCAAAAAAATGATGATAAAACAGTTTCTGTTGAACTTTTGGCACAAAAACATTTCAAATTTATGACTTCAGTCTAATAACTATTTAAGTTGACATGTTTAATTTATGTCAATGATAACAGGTATTGATTATTTCGATTCCAAATACCTCGAGAACTATTACTCGTAGCGATTTTTACCAAGAGACCTTTTTAACGTAGAAAATGCCGTAAATGTATATTTTTATACTTAATAGTTTTATACAGGTACGTACGAAAAAGTTATTACTATTCAAACCAGTTAAAAATATATAGGTGGCGCCCCCTACAAGTAGGAGTCATATTGATATAAAAATCAAATTTATCATGTCAAAAAACCGCCAGACACCAATTTTCATCCAAATATTGACGTTATTTCAGAAATAATTTGGAAAAAATAGAAATAAAATTGAAACTTCTACACCCTGTATCTCCGAAACTAGGCATTTTAGGACATATATTTATACGAACTTTTTTACTTATTTTTATCTGCAGAATATGTAACCGAAGTTTCCGGAATACAGTGCGAACCACCCTGTATAATCTAACTGACACACCACTGACAATGACAAAGAATTTATTTCTGGAGGTATTGTGTGTAGGTGTTTTTAAGGTATGTTTTAGTATTTAGTCGTTTTACGCAAAGAAATAGCCATTAAACAATATAAAAATACTTCATAACAAATCTAGACATATATACCTATCATTTAAAAAAAGAATCATCAAGATTAGCGGTTTCGGCGGGATGAATGTAACAAAAAACCCTTTGAGCTTTTATATACAGGGTGGGCCAATGGAAATTTTCCACCCCAATTTTTCTCGTTTAAAATTAAAATTTGGAAAAACGCTCGGACACGTCGATTTAGTTTTCGAGGGGGAAAAGAAAATATCATAAAATCACTTTCACACCTATAACCTCTAAGGCGGGGGCGGCGCCACCCCTAAATTCTTAAATGGAAAGGGGGCCGAGTAATACCTCATGTGAAAGGCCTTTCAATTCCCTTTTTAATGATATAAGATATCATGTATTTTCGTTCAGTAGTTTTAGAGATTTATTGATTTAAAGTAGATTTTAATTTATCAGCTAAGTGGTGAAAAAATCGGTTTTTATTTTTTTTCTCTCTCTGTATGTATTTTTTTGGCAAACTATGCCAAAATCTGCATCGATCCACGCCCAAAAATCTTTCAATTCGGAAAAAGTGAAAAATGCTCAATTTTGGCCGGTAAATTTTTTAGAAATTTTAAAAGATAAAAAAAAATTTAAGCTTTTTATTTAAAAGATTAATTTTTAGTATACATAGTTTGCCAAAAAATACATACAGAGAGAGAAAAAAAAAATAAAAAACGAATTTTTCACCACTTAACTGATAAATTAAAAAATCTACTTTAACTCAATAAATCTCTAAAACTACTTAACGAAAGTACATTATAGCTTATATCATTAAAAAGGGAATTGAAAGACCTTTCAAATGAGGTATTACTCGGCCCCCTTTCCATTTAAGAATTTAGGGGTGGCGCCGCCCCCGCCTTGGGGCTTATAGGTGTGAAAGTGATTTTATGATATTTTCTTTTCTCCCTCGAAAACTAAATCGACGTGTCTGGGCGTTTTTCCAAATTTTAATTTTAAACGAGAAAAATTGGGGTGGAAATTGTCCATTGGCCCACCCTGTATATATGGATTTGGATTTCGGTCCACAGACAAATTATTTTGAAACATAATCTGTCATTTTTGAAACAAACAATTTTTGCTCTCAGAGCTGCAAGCTCACAGAAAACTTAAGTCTTTTTTTGATTTAAATAATTTTAATGACTTCAGTCATTTGATTTTAAGTAATTTTTTGAAAGCTGACTTAAGACTTAAGTTTAAGTCTTTTTCAAAATCATTTCTGATTTAAATCTTTATTCCAAAATAGAAAAAGATTTATTTTCTTTTTAAAGATTTACTTTTATTATTATTTACTTAAAAATACTTAAGTTATCAAAAAGATTTAAGTCTAAAGTTTTATAAAAGGCTTACGTCAGATTTTTATATATTTTTACATTAATTTATTTAACAGCTTTTGACTTGTACTTGACAAACATTTGATATTGGCATATACTTGCATGAGTGGTGAGTGGTTTCTTGTGCAATTAATTGTCACTAGTCGCGCTGCGTGAGCGCCATGCTGGTTGTTGATTACGAATGGAAAAAATGTTGTTGACAATTTTACAAAGTACGCGACTCGTATACTTGACAAGTGTATCAATACTTGCGTATTTGGCAAGTATACTATCTTTGTAAACCACAATGGCAAATGGCCAGCCTGGCGCTCATAGGACGCGACGAGTGACAAATAATTGCACATGTATACCACTTACACAACATGGAAACTATATGCCAATAAAAAATGTGTGCCAAGTATACGAGTCGTTTGAGCACGGCTTTATGTTTAATTCTTGTTTAGAAAATATTAATTTTGATAAACTATTTCAGGTGGCGGAAAATCTTATGACAATGTTCATCAATCCCAACAAGGAGAAGCTGGCAAAAAGGCATATGTTTCTAAGCACCAGAAAGAACAAGGACTGCAAGGACATCATGATAATGAAAGACATCAACAAAAATATGCTCAAGAGGGTAAGTAATTTTGGTGTATAGCAATGTAAAACCTAAAACATAAACACGGTACCTAATACAGAAACTATTAAAAATTCTAATTTTTCAAAATTGATTTTTAAAAATTTTTATTAAACTATTTCTTATTACAGTTGTGGGTTGGAACCTTTGGTGTTATAACAGCTAAATAGAACACCAAATCAGAAATCACCACAATACACCAAAACACTTTTGTACTGGACGCGCGTTTCCAGTGCAAAAGTAAAAGTGTTTTGGTATGGTGTATTGTGGTGATTTAGTGTTTTATTTTATTTTATTTCGTTAAATTATTTCTGTTATCAAAAACCTCTATACAGGGTGGTCCGAACTGTATTCCGGAAATTTCGGCAGTATATTCTACAGATAAAACTAAGTTAAAAAGTTCGTATATATGTATGTCCTAAAGTGCTTAGTTTCGGAGATACAGGTTGTAGAAGTTTCATTTTTATTTCGATTTTTTCCAAATAATTTCTGAAGTAACGTCAATATTTGGATGAAAATTGATATCTAGGAGATTTTTGATATGAGAAATTTGATGTCAATATGACTCCTACTGGTAGAGGGCGCCACCCACATACCTATGTTTTACCCTCGGTTTTAACTGTTTTGAAGCGTAATGACTTTTTGTCCGTACCTGTATAGAGGGAAAAAATATACATCTCTGCGACTTTTTACGCAAAAAATATCTTTTTGTAAAAATCGCTACTAGCAACCGTTCTCAAGATATTTAGAATGGAAATAGTCAATACATGTCATTACTGACAAAAAATAAACATGTTGAGTAGATATTTATTTCAATGAAATAATAAATTTGGGTAAATTTTTATTTTTTTAAATTAATCATAAATTTTTCTGCAAAAAAATGATGATAAAACAGTTTCTGTTGAACTTATGGCACAAAGACTTTCAAATTTATGATCTCAGTCTAATAACTATTTAGTCAACATGTTTAATTTATGTTAACGATGGCAGGTATTGATAATTTCGATTCCAAATATCTTGAATACCAATACTCGTAGCGATTTTTACCAAGAGACATTTTTTACGTTATAAACGTCGTAAACGTATATTTTTTTACTCAGTAGTTTTATACAGGTACGGAGTTACTATTTTTCAAACTAGTTAAAAAATGTGTAGGTGGCGCCCTCTACTAGTAGGAGTCATATTGACATCAAAATCAAATTTCTCATATCAAAAACTCCCAGACATCAATTTTCATCCAAATATTGACGTTGCTGCAGAAATTATTTGGAAAAAAATCGAAATAAAAATGAAACTTCTACACCCTGTATATCCGAAACTAAGCATTTTAGAACATACACTTATACATGAAATATACGAACTTTTTTACTTATTTTGATCTGCAGAATATGTTGCCAAAGTTTCCGGAATACAGTTTGGACCACCCTGTATAATGCCTAAATATAGTTGGAATGGAATGATTATACCGGGTGTTGCATCGTCGGACGGGACGCGTATTTCCATAATATACCATGAAGAGAACATAGGGTTTCTAAGCCCCGCCTCCATGCATTGAAGATGTCTCTAACGCGGTATAGAATGGAATAGGATATTGCGCCAAATGCAGTATACTATGGAGTCGGCTTCTCAGCGTTACAATGTGATATAAGCCACGTGAGCATTCATTATCACTTCTTGCATTTTTGCATTGAATTAGCCAGTTTGTGACTGTTTATGACAGAGCAATGTACGTTAGGTTAGAGATTATGTTAAAAAATATAAAACCTGAAATAAAATTCGCGATGAGAATAGTGACTCAGCTTCACAGGAGTCAACAGCTGGATATTCATCAAAAAACAGTGCTGTAAGTAACGCTATATCTATATTTATCGGGCCTCTAGAGTTTAAGTAAGACAGTTTTGAATCTCATGCTTTATTAAAAACAAATATGGAAAAAGGCTAGGTTAAATACAAAAACAGAAAAGTAATCAGATGTTTAGAAATATTAAAATGGTATAATAATGTCACATCATATTGACACAGAGCAACAGTTAAAAACATTTCTCACAAATACTACAATAAATTGTAAAAAAAACAAGTATATTAAAGTACATACAACCAAGAGCTTTACCCAGAAGAACTTATGGTTCGCAAAGAAGAAGGCAATCAGGAAGGCCATCAGAAGAGACCAGACTAAAAAAGAAAAAATGGTGCTTGAGGAAATATTATTACTGAAAATACCCCAAAATACCAAAGGAGATGCTAAATATTGCAGTCTAACAGGAAATAGCAATGTTTATATTTTTAAGTATCTGATATTTTAAAGAAATTAATATAATATACATTATTTAATAAATAAATGTTTTTTTTTTCATTTTTTGTAGCTATGTTTTTAAAGTAATGATAAAGAATAGATACATACTAGGTTTACATAAATGAATATTACTGTTTATTCTATCAAAAGTTACGCCAGTAATGCGACTACGAACTATATCCGATTTTGGCGCATTTCCCAATTCCATTCTATACCGCGTTAGAGACATCTTCACTGCTGAACTAAGCTTGAGGGCGGGGCTTAGAGACGTTATGCTCTCTACATGGTATATTTTTGAAATACGCCGACGGGACATAGGAAATCCCATGTAAATTTTAATGGGGTCAATTATTGACTTTCCTAATTATTTTAGAGAATAATTCTATTTAGGTTTATTGAAGAGCACTAAAACCCACATTCAAAAGAATAACTTTAGATATTTTTGATTAGCTCGTTTACGAGTTAACGCCGATTTCTTTTTAAATATTTCTCTTTTCTTATGGCCCTGTATTTACTTTTGAGCACCAGTCAAGATAAAAGATATCTGTCAAATGAAGTTGTCATTTCAGAAATTTATCTATTTAGTGCTTTACAGAGAGAACACTAATAACAAAAGTGAGAGAGACCGATCAACGTTAATTTTTGAAGACTGTGTTAGTGGCGCGGCCTTTGGCATCTAACCCGAACTATGAGCGCATTATCGGTATAGTAGATTGCATTCATACCTATATGCTGGCGCCAAAAATTTAAAATTTGTGTATTTGAACCGAATCTTAATCTTTCAAGTTTATAATAAGAAATCTTCGTAGTTTTTTAGATTATTTTGTTGACAACGAAAATTTATTATTAGACTTTAACTTTAAAACCTATAAATAAAATACTGTGTAGCAACATAATAATTTATTTAACTTAGTTTGGTTTTCAGTTTTTGCAGAATTCATTTACCAGGTCTTTGGTGGGTTGTGGATTGTCATGCCTTTTCTCGAACTAAAAATAAATAAGTTCAATTTTTCATTAAGGTTTAATATTATATGCTTACCAGTTTAGGTAATCCGTTTCTGTACATGTCGTAGTGGAGCCCATACTCCAACTCAAGGCTGCAATCTTCAATATATTTTTTTATCTAACTTGGTTGGGAGTAAACAGGAAAGCACGGTTGGGAGCTCGCACCGAATATCAGTAGGTATCCCGTAGGTATTCAATGTTTTTGATAGTATTTATTCTATAACAAGAACCTATCAGTTGAAAAAAATAATTTGTATTACTGGTAATTGTCGTTCCATAGGTATCAGAAAAGAATAAGAATGTGATGTTTATTTTACAATCGTATTTATCCCATAGGTTATGCTTACCTATGTAAATTAGTCATGTACGACTATTAGTACGACAGTTAGCAACGTCGGAAAAACAAGTATTTTAAGACGTCTGGCTCTTTGATATGTCTTCTACTATGCTCTCTAGAACAGCATGCGGCCCGTCTGGCTGTCGGTAAACGTTGCGTTCCCTACTGCGCATTGAAAGAAGATTCTATATTTTATTAGTCATTTAAATTCTAGTATTGAATATAAACCCACCGAGTCTCCATAACTCAATGCGTAGAGTTTCAGACCACGAACCGAGGAGTCAGAGTTCGAATCCGGGTCAGGACAAAAACTTTTTTACTGTATTTTCGTATATATTCTGATAGCAAAGTATTAAATATTTATTTTTTTTTAATCAAAAGAATTATTTAATAATTTTCTATCAAAATATACACAAAAATAAAATAAAAAAGTCTTTGTCCTGACCCAGATTCGAACTCCGAATCGTCGGTTCGTAGTCGGAAACTCTACGCACTGCGCTATGGAGACATGTTCGATTTATATTCAATACTAGAATTTATAGGACTAAATTAAAAAAAATATAGGATCTTCTTCCGATGCGCAGTAGTAAACGCAACGGATATCGGCAGTCAGACGGGCCGCATACTGTTCCAGAGAGCATAGTAAAAGATATATCAAAGAGCTAAAGTCTTAAAATACTTTGTCGAAAACGTTGCTAGCTCTTAGACTATATTATGTGCACTCAAAATAATTACCGAGATAAAACTTACCTTTAAAGGAAACGTTTTGTCTAGATCTCAACCATAATACAAAAATTACAAAAATGCCGAATAATCGTGGAATCTCAAATAATCAATAATGACAATCACATGACAATAATCTTCTATTCTCACAAGCTAAAAGAACAGCTACATTCAGTCAAAAACAATTTATTACTCCGATTATCAACAGATTTTCGTTCTAGAGCTAAGAAATAGAAAAAGCTACTGATAGTCTAATTAATCCTGTCAAATGTTTAACTTGCAAAGTTGAAAACTTCTTTTTTTTGACTGCATAAACGATATGCGCGTCTGGGATGCGCGGTGACAAAATATATAATATTGTGTCCGAATATCCCTGCTCAAACATTTACTTTCTGTGGATATTGCGTCCTTGTTTCGACAAACCTGTGTTGGTTTTCTTTGTTCCAATATCGATAATTTTGAACATTGGGTTCATTATTTAAGGTAAACGTGCATTCGTCAGTGAATATGTTTTTTAAAAATTCCCTATCCGTGTTTGCTCTTTCCATCATATCAAAACAAAACGCCTGCCGCCGTATTTCGTTCCCATCTCGTAGCTCTTGGTGCTTTTCATATTTGAAGGAATAGTATTTATGTCGTTTCAAAATTCGAAACGCTGTAGTGTAATCTATTTCTATTTCATCCTCAAGTTTCCTTGTGCTGATCTTTCCATCGTTCTCTTCCACGCACAATAAAACTTCCAAGTCGGTATCATTTCTTGCATCTTCTCTTTGTTCCTGCCTTGCTTCACATCTGCAGTTATTTATTAGGGTATCTTTGGTCTCAAATCTCTGGATATTCCTTGTGATTGTAGATTTTCCAGGTATCGGTCTATTGGGATACAGAGCAGCAAACATGTCCGACACCTTTTGATAACTATTTCCTTGATAATACCATTTAATCAACAATACTTTTTCTTCGGTAGGTAGTGTAATTCATGGCTAATATTTTCGATGTAGGTTTGGTTTGGTTAATGAGTTTTTAATAATAATAAAGTACTAAATAGATAAATTTCTGAAATGACAACGTCATTTGACAGTTATCTTTTACCTTGACTGGTGCTCGTAAGTAAATACAGGGCCATAAGAAAGGAGAAATATTTAAAAAGAAATCGGCGATAACTCGTAAACGGGCTAATCAAAAATATCTAAAGTTATTCTTTTGAATGTGGGTTTTAGTGCTCTTCAATAAACCTAAATAGAATTATTCTCTAAAATAAATAGGGTAGCCAATAATTGATCCCATAAAAATTTTACATGGGATTTCGTATGTCCCGCTAGACGATGCAACACCCGGTATACATAAACTTTTAACTTTCAATGGATATACATAACTGCCATGTTTGTGCCTAAATATATCTTATATTTTTTTTACTTTCAATGTTTAAATTAGGTGGGAGTAAAAAGTCACAGAGCCATGACGACGGATATTATGCTGGCGGACACAAAGGTTCCCATGGAGAGAAAGGCTATAGTTATGTTGATAAAGGCAGTTACGCGAAAGGACACAGTACTAAAGGTAAAAGAAAAAATGTATTGATACTAAAGGAATTTCGAATTTCCATTGTTTAAATTTAATTTAAGTTTCACAACGTTTCGGTCATCGTCAGATTTATCACTGACCGTTTTCAAGTGTAAATTAATCTAAATAAATAATAAATTTGTCCGCTGACGTTGATTCGTTGATCCGGTTGATAGTGCTTGCCATATTGCAAAAAATTGTATACTTCGATTGCTAAAGATGCGGTTGTTTGTTTGATATAAAAACGGCTTCTTTAAATTTAATTTTTTTTGCCAGTGAGGTTCCTTTTTGACAACCCGAGCTTCCAATCACTTTAAGTTGTGCTTCCCGTACTACACTGGGTCTATGGTCTGCAATATCTTACTTCATTTATCGCCTTTTTGTACATGTTTTTTCTGTTCGTTAAGTCATATACATATATCTTGAAAACATATTGTCTTTATTATTGTTTTATACATTTATTTTTCTATGAGTTTGGGGTATGGGCCCTTGAAAGAACATTTATATACTATTGTCTACACTTTTCTTGTTTAAACATTAATTTTAATCATAAAATTTGTGTGTTCTCCAAACGCTTTATTTTCAAAAAAAGTAAATTTTCAGTTAATCCAATCAGTAAAAAAGCAATAAAACACTAATATTCCATTAATCAACTGATCATGGTGTTGACATGGTTAGCGACACGCGCGTCCGGTGTTAAAAAGAAAGTATTTTGGTATATTGTGGTGAATTAGTGTTTTATTGTACTATTTTTACTACTACGAGTATTTCTGGTAAAAACATCCTTTTGGACAACCCGAGTTTTCAATTACTTTAAATTGTGCTGCCCGTAATACACTGGGTAATACTTTTATTATTATTTTAAATTTTACTCATCGTATGACAAATATGTTTCTATGTTTCCTTGGATTTACTGGGTATTATCGTTCTTGTAACACCGCTGATCCATAAATACCTAATATTTAAGTTTAGATACTTATAGATTCCATATTTTTAAGTGATTAAGAAAATCTTAAAATAACTCGTAATCTTAAGGTGGGTATTCACTTGCAACAAAACACTCCGAACGAACCAAACGCGCCGCGCGCGCTGTAACAAGTTTATGTAGTCAGTACGTTGCGCCGAACCGAACCGAAAGCGCCAAACATTTTCCGAAGCTTGTCGGTAAACGGGATTAGCTCAAAAGAATTTGTTCGTTGGCCGGTGTTCAGTGGATACGGCAGTTTTGAACGTTCGTTGTGTTTGGGGTGTTTTTAAACTGTACCTAGCTATGGAGTGGAACAGAGAAAGGTGTTTAGAGTTAATTGATGAGTTTGAAAGGCGGTCTATTTTATTAAATTAATAATTAATTATTAAATTCTTCTTATGCATATGATCTAGGTCACTAAGTAAGGCCATACTATATTGACGGAGCAAAAAGAGGCGTCTTGCCCACCTTTTTCGTCCTTTCCTTTTTTTCTCTTTTTTGTTACCCGCTAATGCCTCTATAATTAAAAAAACACCAGCGGCTATGGTAATATCAGATGCATCCTTATCGACAAACACACTAACACTGATTCACACACTGATTACTAGTGGGAACGCAGCGAACACCGACCGCAAACAAGCGGAACGCTCCGCGCAAAATGTTTTGTTGCAGGTCGTTCAGAGCGCATCCGGAAAATGTTTTGTTGCAGATTGTTTGGAGTGCGAGGCGCGTTTGGTTCGTTCGGAGTGTTTTGTTGTAAGAGAATACGCAGCTTTATAAGAAATTAATATTTTTGCATCTTTTTTTCACAGGACATCACGATGTTCATAAACTTGATGAATTCCAGAAGAAAAAGACATTTTTCGATGAAGACCACGACGAAGCTGATCAAGAAAAACATGGCGGATACGAAGTAGGAAAAGATTTTAAGAATGGCCAATTTAAATATGGTGGACACGCCAAGAAGGTCTACTTCGAAGGAGAATTTGGAGCTAGTGGCAAAGCTGAAAAAGGAGATCACGATTTTGAAGAAGCTGGACATAAACGTGCTAGCGGCAAAGACGCATATTTCAAAGATGCGGAGGAATTCGTAAAGAAAGGCAATTCGGAACTGTTTAAAAATTTTGGATTTAATGTAAAGAAACAAGAATAAATGTATTATGTAACAGCTAAGCCAAAAGACTTGTTTAATGTAGCTCTTTGTACAGTATGTTAATTTATTAAATAAACGTTATTAAGATATTTTCTGTGTATACGCTTTGTCGTACATTTTGGAAACGGAATTATTTCGCATAGTACTTTAAATCAAATATAAAGTAAAATCATTTTACTTTGTGTGTTAAATATAAAGGTAAAAATTATTACAAAGTACAGGGTGGGCCAAATTGGACGCTTTTAAAGTGAAACACCCTTTTTTATAGGAGATAGACGAAAACTAATGTGTCTGGGGCTCAATTTTTATCAAAAACATGATGGTGAAAACCGCACATCTCTATCTGTTACCGTTTCGGAGTTACGGGATGTTTTTAAAAAATGTGCATTTTTAACAAATCGCTGTAACTTATTTGCTATGAAAAATATTGTATTTTTATAAAAACATTTCCAAAGCACATTTTCACGTATAATTTAATGGTTTAAGTAAAAAAAAATAAATTAATAATTTAAGAATTATCAACAGAAAATTTATTTTTTTATATGGGACACCCTGCATATTTTTAATTTAATGAAAATAATTTAAAATTGCCTTTCCAAAAATATATTATACATGATATTCAAAAATTCGCCCACTTTGAATAAGCAGGCTTTGAACGGAGCCGGCTGTAATGCAAAAGAATTCTAGCTGTGAGCAACCATTAAAACGAAAATAATATTTTTTGCAATGAGCGATGCAGAATTTTATAACAATTTAAATAATATTTAACAACATCAACACATTTAAACTTATATCTAATAATAATAAAAATAAATAGCAAACCAAAACATGAGATTTTGTTACAGGTCTTCTGTTATGGACAGACGGGACCCAACGATACCCTCGTATAATCGCTAAGTACTTCTAATTCTTCACTAGATTTTACGGGCAATTTAAAAATAAGAACCTTTATTCTTCCGTAAAGATAAAAATCTAGAGGCGCTAAGTCTCTAGGCCACGGCGGCCACGGCGCACAGTGGATCGACCCAATGCAATTTGCTGGACATTCAGCAATTATGCAAAATTTCTAACTTAAGACATTTCTTTGAATAAATGTGTTCTAAAATCTTCAAATTTGTTAAAAATAGTCATAACTTTATTATAGATAACTTACTGAATAGTGAAGGGGTGTTTTTCCAGAATATATATTTTATTTGAATTTCCGGATTAAATTGACTATTACAAATTAAACTGCATAATTTCATACTTATTCCAAAACTTAATGAACTTTTTATCATATTTTTATTCTATATGAATTATGACCTTGCGATTTGTCCAGTTCTTTAATACCAACATGTATTCAATAACAATAATTTTCAAGTTTTAATTATTGTATAGTGTATCCCAAAAAAATAAACTTTAAACAAAATTTTCCATAGCCATCTTTGATGCAAGCGGCTGCAATAAAACTTTGTATTCATAAGTTTAGTATAAAATAGAGAAGTCATAACCACCAACAAATAATGGGACTCGGTGGGACTTTTTGATAATTACGAAAGAAAGACGCAAACTATAATACATTTCGCTGAAAAATGTATATTTTCACGGAGAATAAAGTTAAATAAACTCTTTTCAAGTAATTAAAAATATACAGGGTGTCCCAAATAAAAAATAAATTTTTCTGTTCTTCTTCTTCTTCAAGTGTCATGTTCTAGTGAACGTTGACGACTGCCATGTTAACAACATCTCTGTATCGCTCTCGATCTTGCGCTACATGGAGTTCATCCGCACTCAAGCCTGTCCATTGCCGTAAGTTCCTTAACCACGAAAGCCTCTGGCGCCCAATCCACTTCTTCCCCTCGATTTTTCCGTTAAGGATCAGTCGGAGAAATTCATATCGAGGTCCTCTGGTTATATGGCCAAGGTATTCAAGTTTTCGTCGCTTGATAATATCCAGAAGTTGTCTGTCGTGCTCCATTCTTCGAAGAACTTCTTCATTTCTGGTTCTGGTGGCCCAAGATATTCTAAGCATTCTTCTATGTATGTCCTCATTTCAAATGCTTCGATTTTATTTATTGTTTCTTTATTAAGTGTCCACGTCTCACATCCATACAAAAGAATTGACCACATATAACACTTTGTAAACTTCTCCCGTATTTTGATGTTTAGTGAACTATTTGAGAGCAGCGACTTAAACTTCTGAAATGTATTTCTTGCTTGTTCTATACGACATCTGATTTCGCATGACGGATCGATATGTTAGTTAATCCAACAGTCTATATATTTAAACTTCGCCCTAACCTAACCTAACCTAACCACTCCAACGATATTTTTCCTCCAAAGAGAACTATTTCCTCATTCAACAATAATGATGCCTCGCCGACATCTACCTTACTCACAACCATATATTTAGTTCTATTTAGATTAATAGATAACCCCCAATTCTTACAAGCTTCATTGACTCTAGTTACCAATTCTTGTAGATCTATGAGATTTTCTGCTATAATTACGGTATCGCCGGCATATCTGATATTATTGACTATTTCTCCTCCTATTACAATTCCTTTTTGGCCTCTTAGGGATTCTCTAAATATGCTTTCCGAAAAAACGTTGAAGAGGGTGGGAGAGAGTATGCACCCCTGTCTCACGCCCCGTTTCATATTAATAGGTCTAGATTCTCTGTTATTCACGGTATTATTAGCTGTTTGGCTCCAATACAAATTCGAAATCAGCCTAATATCTTTGTCATCTAGCTGGATGTTCTACAGACTTGATATTATTGTGCTGGACACGATCGAAGGCTTTTTCAAAATCAATAAAGCAGAGGTATACCGATCTTCTTACTTCCCAACACCTCTGCAGAAGCGTTTCCATCGTAAATAGTGCTTCCCTGGTTCCCATGCATCGTCTGAAACCAAATTGCTCTGAACTCAGAGCTTCCTCGCACTTGTTGCTAATTTGTCTGGTGATAACTCTTAAATTTTTAATTAAAAAAAATATACTTAACCTTTCGAAGGTCGCCCTTTATTTGATACAAGAAAGGTCGCGCGCGGACTTTGCTAAAGTCCGCATGCTAAATTTAACAGGTCTTAAGCGTTGATAGTGGTGTAAAGACATAAAATAATATGATAATCGAAATAACAATTATTTATTGACTTGCTTCATTACAAATACCAAACATAAACATAAAATATATAACATAAAACACGCAGAAAAAATAAATTAATAAATATTATTCAAAAACAATAATTAATAATAATAAAAAAATCAATCCATATAACAGTGATTACAGAATATTTGTGTGTACCTATTCAAAACATACGAAATTGTGACACTGTACAAAGAATAAAGAGTTGGTCTGTTTTTCCGCCTATCACAACTCTATATAGTAGTAGTGCCGATCCTCTGGTAATGCTATATTCAGTGGTTCAGAATCTGAAATTTACTTTTCAGTATCAGAATTTATTTCGGACCTTTGCCTTTCTATAATATTCACTTCTCGTTCTTCTTTTTCATCGTCATGTTCAGTAGTTAATTCGTCATCTTCTTTCAAACAGTCTTGCATTAGCTGTTGCAATATTTCTTGCAGAGAACATCTAAAAAATAATACTTATTTAATAAAAAAAGTCTATTATTCACTTTTTTTATAAAAATTTGTTCATTTTCAATTAAAACAAATCAGTAAAATAACTTACCTTGTTCGACATTATAAAATTATTGATGTAAAAATAGTAACACAAACAGTCGCTCGCGGACTGACACTCCGCATATGAGTGTAAAAAGATACTAACTACCCTAAACGATGTGCAAACGTACACTTCTCATAAAATATGCAGAGATAGGAAGATACTAGGCGGCGCAGCATTTGATGTTTTCAGATTTTCAAATTATCGGGAAAAATAGGTACCTGCGGACCAAGAACGGTAAACTAATAGGATTGCTCATTCTCATAAGACGTACGTTCGCCTCTTCCCGCGCTTCAGCTGACAGTTGTGACGTCATTGTAGTCCTTGTCAAAGCCTTCGTGGCGTTGTCATGATAGTGTGTATTATTAGTTGCCTATGGTAAACTTATAAAAATAACAGCTGAGAAATGTTGAGTTAATTATTTTGTCAATTTTAAATGTGAAAAAGGTGTCTTTAAAGTTTTTAGAGCTATAGAGTGTATAAATACGTTCATTTTGTGTTGTGGATTGTGACAAAGTGCATACTAAGTGCCCACGATTTTGTTTATTAATTATTTTAAAGCAAAATATGGAAGTACTCTAAAAAGAATGCTTGCAAAAGGTGATGCTGGGAACTGCTGTTCTTAAAAATGCATTATCCGAGTATTTAATACGATTTATACAGTTAATTTTCTATACTGCATACATATAAGGTGTTTAAATAAAAATAAATAAACTAAATAATGAACGTTTTGCATTCGGTAACCAATAATGCACGTGTGTGTATTATTGGTTGCCGGATAAGGACTAATAACCATGACAAGGGCTACAATGACGTCACAAAGCGAGTAGTTTTCGCATGCACCTGGCGGACACTTTTGGCTGAATGAGCAGTCCTATTAGGTTAACTGTTCTTGCCTGCGGACTGTGAGTCCGGAGGGTTAAGCCTGTTCTGTGGTTAAGCCATTAAGTTTTACGTAGAAAAGTGCTTTGAAAATGTTTTCATAAAAATACAAAATTTTCTATAGCAAAGAAAATTAAAACAGCGATTTGTTAAAAAGGCACGTTTTGGTAACAGATATCGATGTGCGGTTCTCACCATCATGTTTTTGATACAAATTGAGCTCCAGACAACGATATTAGTTTTCGTCTATCTCCTATAGAAAAGGGTGTTTCCTTTTAAAAGTGTCCACATTTGAGCGAGACTGGTCATGTGGTCATCGTCTTGCACAAAAAGCAGGAACAAAACTAAGACCAAGGCCAATACTAGCATCTGCAAGACCAAGGCCAAGATCGAGTGTAAGGCTTCCGCAACTTCAAGCACGCAAAACTCTTGCAGTCTATTTTCCAGTTTTGCTTTCAAATATTATTTAGAGATCACTCTATTAACATCACTATGACACTGGCATTGAGGATTTTTGCTTTTAAAATCGTTATGCTTCC